CAGGAGAAGGTGGCAACTGAAGGTGGTAACAACAACAGGTGGTGGTAAACAACACCAAATCTTATCTTTCTGAGGCGTTTGGGTGAACCCAGGAGGAGGAAAACAGCACAAGGTGGTTGTAGTAGTAGCAGCGGGTGGTAACAGCAGAAAAGAACATGCTGGCTGAAGAGGATTCGTTTTTCTCCCGAACGGTCCTTGCATTAATATAAGCGACAGTATACAGACATGCATGAGAGTACCTTTGCAAAACGTGCAGTAACACAAAACAATAGATAAAACAGCCTACCTGCCAACCCCCTCTAAGGGAGTTCTAGTGCAGGTTCTAAATGGCGAGGCAGTCCCCAAGGAGCAGGGCCTCGCCTGGGGCAGCCACCGGCGGGTTCTCTGCCGCCAAATTGCACCGGCCGCCAAATTGCACGTGGGCTTTTGGATTGGTATCACATTGTCTCTAGGTGGCGGGGCGGGCGGCGGCCATGAGGAGCATGTTTGTGGAGGTGGCATCAGGGGACAACACACACCTTTGCAATGGGGCTAGATTCCTCCCTTTCTCCCTTCCACTCTTTTCTTTATCTTCAGGTGGCAGGGCTGGCGGCGGCCATGAGGAGCATGTGTGTGGAGGTGGCAGCAGGGGATGACACGTTGGACATAGTGGGCACGGGGGGCGATGGCTTTGACACCGTCAACATCAGCACTGGCGCCTGCGTGCTCGCTGCTGCCTGCGGTGCCCATGTCGCCAAGGTGTGTGGGTCTGGCTGGCAGGACAGTTGTTGGGTTCGGCACGCCAGGGCCTTGCTAAATTGCTTGCGCTTTCCCCACTTGGGGTTTGGCGCTCGATGCACACAAGAGTGTTGATGGGATTCTAGCTGCTGATTTACTATGCTGTACGCCCCCCCTCACCCCATCCTGCCCGCCCTTGCCCCTGGAGCAGCACGGCAACCGCTCGGTGTCGAGTGCATGTGGCAGTGCGGACGTGCTAGAGGCCCTCAACGTCGAGGTGGACCTCGGTCCTCAGGTCAGAGCTGGGGTGAAAGGACCTTGGTGCCTGGATATGGGTGGAGTGGAACGGAGTGCAGGTGGCGTGTAAGGGATTAGGTGTTCTTTTATTATCAATGTTTGACTATGTGTTTTTCTGCTCCGACTCGAACGTTTTCTACCTGCTAAAAATCTAGTGTTACTTCGTCGCTTAGCTTTCTCCCCTTGCAGATTCACTGTTTCACCCTTTTCACAAGTCTCAATTGTAACCATCATTTCTCTTCCCCACCCCACCAGGCAGTGGCGCGCTGTGTGCAGGAAGCGGGGGTGGGCTTCATGTATGTGCCCTGCTTTCACCCCTTTTGAATCACCTCCAACCATCTTTCCTCCTCCCATCTCTCCATCCCCCTTCCGTACCTTTCTCCCCCTTCCATCCCTCCATCCCCCTTCCATTCCTTTCTCCCCTTTCCATCCCCCCATCTCCCTTCCATCCCTTTCTCCCCCTTCCATCTCTCCCTTCCCCTTCCATCCCTTTCTCCCAATCTCATCCCCTTCCTCCCCCTTCCATCCCTCTCTTCACCCCACCAGGCAGTGGCGCGCTGTGTGCAGGAGGCGGGGGTGGGCTTCATGTACGCCCCTCGCTTCCACATAAATCCCACTTGACCCCCTTCCTGTATTCCCGTCGCTGTTCCCCTCCCCACCACACCAGGCAGTGGCGCGCTGTGTGCAGGAGGCGGGGGTGGGCTTCATGTACGCGCCGCGCTTCCATCCCGCCATGCGCATCGTGGCTCCCGTGCGCAAGGCCCTCAAAGTCAGAACCGCATTCAACCTCCTCGGACCCATGCTGAACCCCTCCTTCGCCCCATACGCCCTTGTGGGAGTCTTCAACCCGGAAACTGTGCGTATCCGAGCATCCTGAAATCATAACCTCGAAGCCCACAAATAGGTCAGCACCGAACCATTGAGTGCTATGTTACCTCTGCAGGCCTTTCAATCACTGTCTGTCTAGATCTTACCGTGTTTACAGTCTTTCAATATGGGAGTTGTAAGGTGCTTCAAAGGTAGAGTGATGGCAGGGTGACCTGGGCAAACTGTTTCGGTTTGGGTTCAGGTGACCCTCACAATACATGTGAAGTTTGCAATTTGCAGAATCTACATGCCCGGGGATTTTTGCGGTTACTCGGTAAGGTCAACAGACAGCAAGCATTGTGTAACCTTCCGCACTCCGCTCTGCATCCCTCCCCTCTGCACCCGCTTCTACACACCTCCACGTCCCTCTACACGCCTTTGCATCCCTCTGCACCCACCAGGTGGACCTGATGGCGCGTTCACTGCAGCGCCTGGGCATCCGCAGAGCGCTGGTGGTGCACTCCAAGGGGCTCGATGAGATCTCCCCCATGGGTATGTCAGTCCAGCTACCAGTACAAATCTAGATCCACATGGCATTACCATGGGACAATGCCACACCTCTATGATGTGGGGCCCCTGAAAGCATGATCATTTGGTGTGTCAAATGTTTTTCCCCTGCAGCATATTCTCAGAAATGATCTCAAAATATCAGCTCAGCACTGTGAGTTCTTGTCCGATCCGATGCAGTCCAACAGCTTTTCCTACTGCTTCTCCTTTCCCCCACAACCTACCAGTGTCTTCCATGAAACCCTTTGACCTGTTCTTTCGGGTCTGTCTCACTCCTCCATCCCTTCCCACCCTGTCCCTCCCCCCCTGCATCCTTACAGGTCCGGCAGACATGCTTGAAGTGACACAAGACTCGGTTCGCCCCTTCCGTGTCGACCCATGTAAGCACTTCCATACCTGACTCCGTGTCGACCTCCTGCACTCCATGTATGCATGATGAGAATTCCCTGTTGTGCCACTGCTTTCCGATTTAAATCCATACATTTCTGCTGACACAGCATGGAGCAGCTCATTTCTGTGCCCTTTTCTAATGCCAAGCTCTCAATCGTTCCCAAGCATCTTCAACCCGATTCACACATTTATACCCTGTGCAGTGGACTGTAGCACAACGTGTTAAAACATAGAGGATTATGAAGGGCGGATGCTGAGACTCGAGTGTTAACTCGATTGTTGACCTTGATGGCCTCCCTTGCTCCCTGCATCACACTCCTCCTCTGTGTGGTGGAATATGGCATGGCATATGTTCCTGCCTGCCCTCCTCTTGACCCTGATACCTCCCCTCTACCCAACACCCCGCACCCTCCGCTGAGCAGTGGACTACGGCATAGCGCAGTGCAGCATAGAGGACCCCAAGAGCAGCAAGCTCTGAAAATGTCTCATTGACCCGCCAATAGACTCTAGCGCCTTCCATTGTACCTCTTTCACACGTTCTTAAATCCTGCCCTGACCAGACGGCATAGCGCGGTGCAGCATAGAGGTCCCCAAGGAGGGGGGACAAGCTCTGAGCATGTCTCAAGTACCCACCTGTAGACTCTAACCACTTCCCTTGTGCCCTGATTCACACACCCGCGCCCTTGGCAGTGGACTACGGCATAGCGCGGTGCACAATAGAGGACCTCAAGGGCGGGGACAAGGCACTCAACGCGCAGCTGCTCAGAGACGCCTTTGGCGGGCAGCAGGGGGGCATTGCTGATGCGCTCGTGAGTGCCAGGGAGGGCAGCGGGGAGAGTGTGTGAGAAGAGGGTTCTGGTTGCCCATGGCCTAAAGCAATGTGGGTGAAGTCCCAGCTCTTGGTAACATGTAGGGAGTGCATCGCTCAATAAGATGAGAAAAGGCCTGGCTGCAGCTACAGTACCATAAGCCAGCGACTGCCTGCTTCCGTTTCCCTCACTCTCACATTCTTCTCCTCACTCTCAGTCGTCTCCTCTCCCACCCCTTCATAATTCCTCTCAGAAGCTCCTTTTGAACCTAGCATGTGGGCTGGAGTCTCAGAGCACGTGCAGCAACCAGCAAGCCCACACAGGAAGGCCCATGCCACAGCATCATTCGTTACCCCACGTTCCTGGTTCTTCGCTCCTCTCGCCCCTTCCCCTCCCTGCAGGTGCTGAACGCGGGCACGGGGCTGGCAGCGTGTGGGGTGGCAAGGGACGTGGGAGAGGGCATAGCCATGGCCCAGGAGGCGCAGCGCAGCGGCAAGGCTATCCATGTGCTTGACCGATGGGCCGCCCTCTCTCAGGTGACCAATGGGCCGCCCTCTCTCAGGTGACCAATGGGCCGCGCTCTTTGGATGTGTTTCTTGCGGTAAACTCTTTCGTGGGTGCATGAGGCCGCTCCTGTGCCCGCCACCTCCCTTCCCAACTTGCAGTTGCATGAGATGGGTTATGACGATTAAATAATCGTAGCGGCTTTGCAACAATAGATTTGTACTTATTAGGCACATTGTTGCTGTTTTTATTGCATCGAATCAGTTCCACCTGTTCCATCCAGGCCAGGCTACCAGTTCCACACGGTCCCTGCCAACATGGTCAGCGCTGCTACTGTTGATGTTTTTTTCGAAAGGCAGGAGCCGGAAAAAGGGCAGGAGTGGGAAGGTGAAAGCTGGAGAGGAGCAAGGCACCTGTTGTTGGTGCTGCAGAGGGCTCCACAGCAACGAAGAAGCAGAAGCAGCTGCAGCACAGCAAGGGGCAGGTGACGGACCATGGTTCAGGTGTAGGGGCAGCTACGGAGGCGAGGTGACATGAACAACACTGGGAAGACTGGGTCAAACAGCAAGCAGCAATTAAGGCTGCTGTAGTAACCGCAATTGTCCTCCCTTGTGCCTGGTTCTAGTACGGTACATTAGAGCCTTTACTTTTCTTGCCACAACTGAACGTGCATCCAGTTGATGATAAAACGACTTCTCTTCATCATTCAAAACTCTGGTTTTACGAAGACAGACAGTGGAATGAGCAATTACATCTAGCATAGCACCGCTCCTATCATCTCATCAGATTGTATCGCATCCAAACATTGGCCGGGCTTTTATTCATTGCGTTGCACACCACCATGCCAAGGCGGCTGCATTATTTGCAAGCACTCTCGTGCAGCACACGTCCGCGTTACAGCACATCTCGTTAGAAGTTGGTGCCGCTCTCGTACGTCTTCCCCGCGCTCCACTTGCTCGGAATCACGCCGTCCAGCACAACCTGCTGCCCGCCGCCCACGGCCGTCACGCGCACGCTCACCTTGCGCCCCTTATCCACGACGTCCTTGGCGGGATTCAGCGTCCACGTGGCGCCCCATCCGTTGTTCGTCATGCCTTTCCACTGCTTCCCGTCGTTCGATATCTCCACCTTCTCCACGCCTCCGCTCTTCGCCGCGCCCAGAATCTGGACGACGAAATTGTAGACGTTGCTGTTGTTCTCGATACGAACCGCCATGGTGCGGCTGCTAGGGCAGTCCACGCTGCGGTAATCGATCTCCACGTTACCCACGTTACGGTCCTTGACGATTTTGTCCCACGCGGGAAAGTTGAGGTTGAAAATGCCGCTCTGGCCGACCGCTCGAACCATCACGCTGCCCTTCGTGCAGCTCGGGCTGTTCTTGCATGTAACTTGGTAACACGTCCCGCAGCCTTTGCCGCTGTTGAAATTGCTCGCAGGCACCTGCGCGACCATGCCCTTGTCGAAATAGGGACTGTCGGCGTAGCTGAATTGGCCCCAGTAGCACGTGCCCTCGCGGTTCAGATCGCCAAGTGTGGCCTGGATGGCATCGGCAGGAGAGAGGGCGAGAGCGAGCAGGACGATTCCCACGCACAGCAGGCCGCCGACCTTAGAGACGAGAGCCATCGGAGAAATGATGCGGAGAGTAAGAAATTGCTACGAAAATGCGAGATATTTTTGCTGCAACTAGGAACAGCTGAGTCTGGAAACCAAACTAAGCAAGCGGGCTTGATTATTAGACACTGGACGCTTGGAGTGCAGTGGTCGATTTAGATGATGATAGGAATAAGTCGTAGGAGACTCTTATAGTTGTGTGAGTGGAAGAGAATTTGGAATAATTGGGAGTTGGAAGCAATGAGCGGCTTCGAGTCGCCCTCATCAACTTCCCCTCAAACAATAATTGTGTTTTTTTCGCGAATCGACGGGTTCGCGAGGCGACGAGAATGGTGTAACATTTATTTCGCGAGTCGAAGATTGGAAAGGCGATTGGCTCGAAAATAATTGTTACGAGGGGAGCGGTATCGTCCGGTGACCCCTCCCGTTTTGCAGCCGAAACGAGAGCCTCAACGATTATTGTAGCCTCGCCTCACAACGTCTTCGTCGTTGGCGGCATGGCGGATGCAAGACGAGTCCAAAGTGCGAAGCGAAACAACTATGTTCAGAACCTGGTAACTCTTCTCGTCTGTGGTAACACATCCCAATTGAGGACACTGCAGCAGATAATGTTCCGATCAAGTTCGATAGTCTCTGACATCTCCCCCCGCCAAGAAAGTTTTTGCGATCGTGAGCTCGCCGTGTTCCGCAATTCACTCAAGTGGCTACGATAGTAACGATGGCTTCACCCGCCGTCCACCACGCCTCTCCCACCGAGTTGCTCCTTAGTAGCACGCCCTCCGCCACCCCAGTAATAGAGCGATTCGCAGCTGCTAGAGGGAGCGCGTCGTCTGAAAACGACCATATGGTTGCTAGTGGTGGTAGCGAATCTAGAAGGCCCACGTGGATCTGGGATCAGGCCGCGGCGTAGGGTTATGACCGATTTCGTTCGCGACGCATATCGCGTCGCGATTTTTTTAATAAGGTGGTTTTTTTGAAGGCCTCAAATTTTCTAAATCACCTTTCTACTAAACGTTTCTCTGCGCATGTAGTGTATCTCGCATTTGATTGAAATAAAAGGGATAACCGTGAAAGAAACAGAGAGCTCGCAGCGGCAACGCTTAGCTAGGACCAGCGACTACCTAGCAGAATGAGCAATCTCTTCTAGCATCTCTCATCGGAACACACAAAGCCTCAGCCGATCTACCTCCATAGAGGGCCGGGCTTTATTCACTGCCTTGCATACTACCATGCAAGGTAGCTGCATTATTTGCAAGAACTGCTTGAGCGCCGCAACCACCTCGTTACAGGGCGTCCAGTTACAAGCAGCAACTGTTGCACCTGTACACCCATCTCGTGACGACTTTTCCTAAAAGTTGATGCCGCTCTCATAGGTCGTCCCGGCACTCCATCCGCTCGGAATCACGTCTTGCAGCACCACCTGCTGTCCGCCGCCTGTCACGCGCACGCTCACGGGGCGCCCCGCGTCGACGACGTCCTTGGCGGGATTGAGCACCCACGTGGCGCCCCATCCGTACGTCGTCATGCTCGCCCACTGCGACCCGTCGTTCGACAGCTCAACGTTCTCCACGCCTCCGCTCCCCGCCGCTCCGAGAATCTGAAGCGCGAAGTTGTACGAGTTGCTATCGTCGACTAGTCTGACCTTCAGTCCGCCGTTGCTAGGGCAGTCCACGCTGCGGTAGTCGATCTCCACGCGCCCCGCGGCCCGGTCGCCGACGATTCTGTCCCACGCGGTGAAGTTGAGGTTGAAATCGCCGTTCTGGCCGACCGCTCGCACCAGCACGCTTCCCTGCAAGCAGCTCGGGTGGTTCATGCAGGAAACTTCATAGCACCTTCCGCAGCCCTTTCCGCTGTTGAAATCGCCCGAAGGCACCTGCGCTACCATGCCGAAGTCGAAATCCGAACTCTCGCCGTAGTCGAACTGGCCGCGGTAGCACGTTCCCTCGCGGTTCAGGTCGGCGGACGTGGCGTACATGGCATCGGCCGGAGTGAGGGCGGGAGCTAGCAGAACGATTCCTACGCACATTAAGACGCCGACCTTGAAAATGCGAGCCATTGGAGAATGGGGGCAGGGAGTGGCTTAGAGATTGCGGGAGCTTTCTGCTGACTAGGAACAGCCCAAGTCTGAAAACTAGAACTAATCAAGCGGGCTTGAGTATCAGACACACTGAACGCTTGGATGACAGTGATCGATTTGGATGATGATGGAGAAGTAGCAGGAGATTGATATAGTTGCGTGACTCTCAGGTGTTCAAGGCAGAGTGCGGCTCGAGCCGGTTTGATGAATTTCCTCTCCTTGAAAGCACACTGGTATTCCGCTTCCGAACAATAATTCTGCGCTCTTCAAAAAGTGACTGCTAGGCAATGGCCTCGAAAACGGCTGTAACAATCAATAATCGTGAGTCGAAAGTTGGGAAGGCGATTGGTTCGATGATTGTTTCTGGGAGCGGCTTCATTCAGCGATTTGCTTGGAATAATTTCCATGAAAGCCCTCCTCTTGCTTTCCCCCGACGAGAGGCTGAACGATTATTGTAGCCCCGCAACGCTAGTATCTGTTGGGCATTGGTACGGCTGGTAACTCAGCTCTTTGACGAACTCTCAGAGCCAGCTTTCGCAGGTGGTAACACAATATGTGATGTGTCTTGGCATTCGCATGTGTGCTCACTCGCACAATTCGCAGTCGGACGAGCACACAGATGCAGCGATAACATATTACGAGGCGCGTATCTGGACTTTGAACCCGACATGTTTGTCCATCTGAGCTCATTCTAGGGTTTGGTATTGTTCCTTGCATTTCACATTCCATACGCCATAATCTCACTCGGCCTATTTTTTTGGCGTTGTATAATTTATTTTAGAGTGGATGAAACTATTTCGTTTCCCTCAAGTGGCGACGATAGTAACGATATCCTCACCCGCCGTTCACCACGCTTCTTCCAACGATTCGCTCCTTAGTAGCACACGCTTTGCCACCCCAGTACTAGTAAAGCGATCCGCGGCTGCTACTAGCAGTATGAGCGTGTCGTTAATAAACGTCAACGTGGGTTCTAATGGTAGTAGCGAATCAAGGAGGCCACGTCATCCATCGGATCTGGGGTAAGGCGAAAGGCTCCGACCTACCCGTTCGAGACGCGGATCGCGTCGACGTGGGATCGACACGGCTCTCGACAATGAAAGCGTACTAACTCGAAGCATGTTGTTTCTTTTTTTTCTTTTTATTTTTTCTGCTTTTTCATGAACATGCCTTTCCCTACACTGACGAGAATCCGAATGGGCAGGGGGTTGCACGTAGGGTCGAACCCCCACGACGAGCATGAGGACAGGTGTGGGGGGATAATGCGGGCAGGGGGTGGGAGATAATGAGGACAGGGGGGTGGGGGATGATGAGGGCGGGGGGGTGGGGGATGATGAGGGCGGGGAGGTGGGGGGCAAGGCGGGGGGAATGGCTTTGACACTGTCAACATGAGCACGGGCGTCCATACTCGCTCTGTGTGTGGGGTGTGGGCTTGGATTCGGCAATGCGTGTGGGTGTGGCAGGACAGAGGTGCACGTGACTTCTGCACACTGGGACCACGAGGTTTGGGGTCCGTGTGTGTGTGCTGACGAGTGTCAGCAGCATCCCATGATTGATGAGCTAAGCAACCCACGGGCTTGTTCAAGTGCTTTCCTCTCCCCCCACCACCTTGTTTCCATTCCTCTCCCCCCACCAGCGGGCGCTGTGTGCAGGGGGCAGGGGGATGTGACTCACACTATTGCCCTCACACCATGCAACACAAGCCACGTGACACAAACCACGTGACACAAGCCATGTGACACAAGACATGTGACACAAGCCCCGTGACACAAGCCATGTGACACAGCCATTCGACACAAGCCACGTGACATAAGCCATGTGACACACACCGTGTATGTGGCTTTTTAAATCTACATGATCAAATTGTTCGTTAAGTTCAATGAATTTCTTCTTATTTTTCTCAGGAATGTACCATTTTCCTCCGCTGACCACAATCGGAACGGCCAGGAGGTTACAGGTTGGTTCGATCCCTCACGGCATGCTTGTGTTCATTAGGGCAAGGGGGTGGGGGGTGATGGGGGCAGGGGATGGGGGATGATGAGGGCAAGGGGGGTAAGGGGAGGGGGAATGGAGTAAGGGGGGGGGGGATGGCATTGACACCGTCAACTTCAGCACTGGCACCCATTCTGCTTGTGTGTGGGGTGTGGGCTGTTGGATTCGGCAAGGCATGTGCGGTCTCGCATGACAGCAGGGCAGCCTGCTGGGACTTGAGGTGAATTCTGCGCACTGGGACCACGAGGTTTGGGGTCCGTTTATGTGTGCTGCTGAAGAGTGTCAGCGGCACCCTATGAATGAGAAAAGCAACCCAGGGGCTTGTCCGAGTGCTTTCCCCCTTTACTCTCCCATCCCTCTCTCTCCGCCAGGTAGTGGTGGCAGGGGGGCGAGTGGGAGATGTGACTCACAGTATCGTCCGCACACCATGCAACACACACCATGATGCGACACACACCATGATGCGACACACACCATGTGTGTGGCTTGAACACGCTGCATGAATGGGTCTATGGTACCTCTGCCTTTGAATCAACAAGGTCATCCAAACACAACTGATTCGTAACTTTTGGCAGCACCCCTCTGCACCTCTGTACACCCCTCTGCACTTCTCTGTATCCGTTTGCACCTGTCAGCACCAACCAGGTGGAACTCATGACCGCGTGCGCCTGCGCATCCGCAGAGCGCTGGTGGTGCACGCTAAAAGGCTCGATGAGATATCCCCCATGGGTCAGTCACTCTCCCCCATGGGTCAGTCCATCCCATGGGTCAGTCCACCTCATTGGTCAGTCCACCCCACTTCCCTCAACGGATCCTCTTCAACCAACTTAAAGGCATATTCTTCAGATGCCTAAAATATGAGACCATCCCAGCTCCCTGTTTGAAACAACATTCAGCTATCATTATGGCCGTGATTTTTCCATGAAGCGTCGCTGCTGTCTGATGGAATAATAGTACAGAAGAAACAGTGCATGGATGTGATGATAAATTTTCGTTATGCACCTGCAAAGCATTTCTGGTATTCTAATGAAGTCAGTGGCACTGCTATTATTTCGCATCTAATTTCTGTTGATCTTTCTGATCTCTCTTGGTCCATCTTCATTCATTCACACAAACTTCCAACCCGTCTCCTTCCCTGTCCCTCTACCCCCCCCCTGTCTTCTTCACCCCCTGTGCCCCCCCTGTCCCCCCTGTGCCACCCTCTCTCACGTGATCAGTGGTCCGCTCTCTCTGAGGTGATAAGTGGTTGGAGTTTTTTTAGATGATAAACCCTAGCCTCCAATTCGATTTCTCAAACAAGCATCCAGAAGCTAATGCTCAATGCACCGAATTTGCTTTTAGGTAGCTCACAATTGTTGCGGGCAAGTGCATAAACAAGATAGGTCACTCTCCTATGTGGGCCACCCTTGCATCCGCCCCCCTTGATTGCTCCCCTCTCATCATTTTTCCTGCTTTTTTCTCTCCCCTCTTATCTCTCGTATGGATCCCCCTCTCCGTTTTGTTCCCCGTTCAATAATTGTGTTTTTTTTTTCCGATGAACTAGCATCTGTGAAATAGGAGCATGTTCCATTGTAGTTGCTGTTAATAAAATAGAAATACCCCACATTCCATTCAAAAACTGCAGCCACCTTGTAGTTCTTTTAAATAAATTCGTTAGTGTTCTTGGTTTCCAAAAGTTTGTCTCTGTACAGAGTCCCTATAACATGTTCTAAGCAGTATGTAGTCAACCCAAGTCGCGTTGACCCCACCCACTCTCATCGTCAAGCTCGTCAACTGCACTCCGAAATCGAACATTTTCATGCCAGCTCATCACTACCAAGTTCAATTTCCACCAAATGTCGCCAACAACTCGCTTGTGGAAGCATTTCTCGATCGAGAACCCTGCCACGCTGTCACTCACCATGAAGAAACAGAGATTCGCAACCATGTTTGCCTGGTAACTGACTTCCCAGTTGCGTGAGCCTCCATTGTCCTGTGCGCGAAACTGCTAGTACCATTTCGCCATCTCTTCGTTCACTCCCCCCCCCTGCTTCCTACTCTTGCTCTCCTTTCTTTCATCTCCTGGCCCTCATCATTCTTTCATTCATGCTCTCTCTCCCTCCACCTTCACAAGCTTCCAGCCAATTTGATGACCAGCGCTCTACGCGCTAGTTACTATTATTTTTGTGGTCGCTTCTCTTCAGTCGCAAAAGTTGTCTTTATTTTTCTAAGCGTCGAGTTTTAGCTTCGGACATGGCGCCACCACTTCGCGAACGATCCCGATCCAACATCTGAGAGCACGGAACTAGGTAGGTCCTTTTAAGGCGACTCATTCACACCATTCAGTAACGATTTTTTTTGCTTGGCAGTTTTCACTGGTCTTTGTTGGGTTGGTTCGTCTTTCTTGTCTCTCCCGTCCGAGTCAAGATGCAAGTCCTACTCGAATATCATGCCCTTCCTTTTATTTCTCTCCACCTCCTGTGATATAGTTTGCTTATTTTTCCCTCGCCCTCCCTCCCTCCCTCCCTCCCTCCCTCCCTCCCTCCCTCCCTCCCTCCCTCCCTCCCTCCCTCCCTCCCTTCCCCCGTCCCTCCCTCCCTCCCTCCCTCGATTGCTATTAGGTTCTCACTATTCTATCTGTTTTCTCTCCCCGCGAAGCTCGGATCGTTATCAGACCCGTGACGCCATTCCACACACCTCAACCGTTGGTGCCATCCGCCTGGAGCCAGAGGGGTTCCATGCAGCAGACCCGCTGCTCGCAACAAAATATGTTACGATGGAAACTAGTGGTGTCGGGGGCCTTGCGGCCGGGAGTTCTTTTATAGTCATCATGCTGGTCTATATTTTAGGCGCTCGAAACATATGGACTGCGTTATTGGGTAGCGTAGATCTTCTGTGCAAGGTTACAGGGAGTGTTCTTGGGCTCAAGCCCATAAGTCCATCTCAAAAATGCGGGTCTGTTTAACATTCTAAATGTATGATGTTTGCATACTAAACGCTAGCCTTTCGTTATTGGTTTTTAGGGCTACTAAACAGTAAAAAGTTGCGTATGCGTTCAGTATGCTCAGTTTGGATACCGATCAGTATTCAGCATATGCATGGGAATTGTAGCACCGTTATATCACATCAACTATATTTTGGTGCAGCCCTTTCTTACAGTTGCATAAGCTTTGAGGATGATACAATGGTAATGATTTCACACATGATGGTAGACCTATTCCATAACAGCTGCAAGATAACTGTCTAGCATTACTATCCACCCTTCTCGATACAAGATGATCCATTAGTGCATCATCATCGATTAAACATCCAGAATGATAAGCTGCTAATTTTATGATAATTAACTAGTTACAAAGAAGCTGGGTAAGGGAAATACACTTGGGGCCCCGCACACATGCACCTGCTTAAAGTGCTAATATTCATCATCACTATCCAATGCCTCATCCACCTCCTCTTCATACTCCACCGGCTCCTTCCCCTTGCTCTTCTGCTGCTGGCCAGGCGGCTTGCTCTCCTGCTTCACTCTCGCAAACCTCAACAATCGCTCAACTCTCTTCTTCTCGGCCGCATCTGGGTCTGCTCCAACAGGGGTCACCTCCTTGAGGCCGCTGCCTGAGATCACTACAGTTCCTGTGGGCCCAAACACCCACCCCTGGTACTCATCGGACCACTCAGGCAGATCTGGGGTGGGTGTAGCTCGGATGTAGCTCACGATCCAGGCCTTCACCTTGGTGTGGTAGTCGGCAATGTCGTCAGCGTTGAGATCCGGGTCTGTTGGGATCCGCTGACCGTTTCTCCTGTGCCTGATGATGGCAAACTCCACCTGCATAGTACAATTGGTAGGGGTTGGTGGTTCAGGGTTTCCAGGAACAAATGGGTGGGCTTGGGCATTCTGGAACAACAGCAATAATCAACCCGGTGCAGTTAACACTTGAGGCTACAAAACCCAGCCCCCCCCTTCCCCCACCCCCCCTCCTAAAACTGACCCAAATTTTAGGTTCTTACCAAATACAGTGGATAGGCGATATGATAGGCCTTGATCACTGTCTTCTAGCCTCCGCCGCCCTTTTGAAAACCATTTCTGATCATGATGTCGAACACAGCAGTGGCGAACGGACGGCCGGTGTCATCATCGACATGCCACTGCAGCATGCCACCTCTCACTGGAAATGGGCGAGTGGGTGGTATTAGGAGCAGCAGAACAGGAAATTATAAAGCGCAGCACAACACGGAGCACGTATGAGAATCGAAGCGGCAGCACGTAGCACATGGCACGACAGCATCAAACTTTTCTGCCTTACTGCACTTGCCGATCGGTTTCACCCCTTCCAGGTTGTAGACTTGGGTGTGTGTGCGCTGGGTGGTCGACACCAGCTCGCTCTAGTCGTATCGCAGCCTGGGATTTGCCTCGCACGGAAGGCCGAACGCGTCAGCAACCACCTTCCGGCAGTTCATGCTGAGCCGGCAGCGCCAGACGTTCTGCTTGCGTTTTCCCGCCCCCTTCCTCGCGGCATCGTACAGCATAACATGCTATATAGGCTCCTCCATGTTGGGCCCCCACACTAGAATGAGATGCGCATTCAAGACGTGACACTCAAGATACATGCAGGTGTCATCGTCCGGTTGCATGAACAATGCAATCTTGGTTGCCAGTTCCATCATTGCCTGTCAAAGGGTGGAACAAACGTAATGAACAAAATGGGAAAGCGAGATTAGAAGGCATTAAATGATAGCGGGAGGGCAACGCAACCGGATAAGGGTGGACAACGAGGCACAGAAATGCAGAGTCAAATGGGGTGGAGGGAGGGGAGGAGAGGGGGGATGGGAGGGGGACGGGGACCGGGGACAAGGAAGAGTGAGGGGGGGGGGGGGGGGATGATGACATGGTGTAAGGCACATGGGAAACTCACACTCCATGCCGTGCCGAAGGGAGGCAGCTTGGCCATCATCTCTTGCGCCCTCCGAGGTATGTTGGAAACGAAGGACATCTGCACCACCTGCCTGTCCGTGCAGTTGTCATCATGCGCCGGGAACTTCCGCTTAGCCAGTGATGTCTGTGGTTCACGAATGACGATTCCACCACGAGAGCGACCTGCACCTGGGATGACGAGCGACCGATTTGATGGCCCTGCCCCCGGGTTCGGCTGGCGGGATTTCGAGCCAACTACAGGTGTGCTCCCCGAGGGAGCAGTCTGGTTGCATCCGTTCTCAGTTAGACTCTGCGACGATGTCGACCCACGCGCCGCCTTCAGAGCCGTGATCTCCTTCTGATGCTCACGCAACTGCCGATTCAGCTTCTCCACCTCGTTGCTCTGTGACACCGACGCTTTATCGCCCGCAGCACCAGCGTTCCGCGTGCATTCCATGCTGCCTGGCAGCGGAGTCCCCGCTTGCTTGGAGGTGCTTGGAGCAGCATCAGTCCGGGCAGTGACGTCGGCGATGCACGCTCATTTCGGGGACTCGGCTGCAGGATCAGGTAAACGACCAGGAAAAGGGCAAAGGTGAGAGAAATCAAACGTGAGATAAAGCCGCATATAAAATCTCAATCCCCTCGTACTTGTGAGAAAACGGTGTGTGCTTACCAAATGGCGCGGTTGCGCTCGGTGAAACGGCATCCTCTGCCTCTCCATCCTCTTCACAGTCTAGATCGTCAAGCGCCTCCCTGATGGCTCCACCATCACCGAGGCTGGTGGTAGCCGGGACGCGGCTGGGCGAGGCCTCAGCCACCGCAGGAGCAGCATCGCCAGCTTCGGCGTTGCTCTCCAAACGTCCTTCCTCTCTCTCTTCAACGTCTGCTGCACGCCCTCGCGCGTGCTGCTTCGTTGGCTTGTTGCCGAGGCCTTTGGAAAGTGCCATCTTGTAGGTCGGCTTGGACTGCCTCTTCCCAGCTGATTCCATCTCACCGATCTAGTGTGGCAGTTGAGAATGTAGGAGAGGTGAAGCGGATGTCTACCAAAAGGATAATGAAATGTTGTTAAGCGGCTGGCTAGTTTTATACTACGGCGTGCTGCACCGGTACGAGAATAGCAGTATGCGCGGCGACTTTGCGCAATGGCGCAGTGAAACAAAGCCCCCGTGCCCGTCTCAGCAGCCATGGCACACTACCGAACGTACAACAGCATGCGCCTACGACCGGATTGTGTGAGTCGGATAGTCACAAGCTCGCTAGTACTGAGACTGGACGTGGTTTTGGGGATATCGGCTGCACGGTACTTGGCAGAGAGTAATGTAATGTGTGTTCTCGTGGTTTTGGAATTGAAGTTTGAAAGTCGAAAGCAAACAGAACAAGGCACGCCCGTTTGATGAAAGCAACTGTGGCAGCCTACCGTTGATCGTCAAGCTGGCGACAGATGGACTTGATTGGTTCACCTAACATCAGGCCTATAACGACATTTCGATTGACGAATGGGATCAACCACTGTTTTAACCGGCGCACACAACTGGTCTCTATCACTTGACAATCCCTTGTATCGGTGAAACAGGCTCGCAACCAGCTCACGAAACTGCTGTTACGCGACCCATGTGACGTGGACGTTGCCAGATTTGCAGCGCGACTGCTACGAAACATGGTTGCGACGCGTCGCCATGATGCGGGAATCCTGTGGCACAGAATTTAAACCACGTTGAGTGCATCAGTGTTACACATCGCAACATCGATAAATGGCAGTTTTAATTGTTTGACCATCCCAAATAAATTCAATAAACTCAATGTATGTACTATAATAGCTTATTTAAAAACCTGACATGTGTTTACGTTACCGTCCAAATAGTAGCGTATGTAATCTCAAGTTAGGGAAATACCTTCTTCATAGGTTGACGCATTGTCATGTTAAACGCAATGGACGATGATGGTAAGTACTTCTGACATCCTTATTACCGAGGCATGCGTTGACGGTGCTAGCTATTTTAGAATGGGATCTAACCTGGGTAGGATATCAAGGGATAGTGCAAGGACCCTTCCATCCCACATTCAGGTCATTCGGAGCACTGTAGCTTGATTGTTTGACTTGTTCGCTGATAAAGGCGACGACTGTAAGTACGCGACCGCGCGTTGGAACGTATCATGCGTTGACGGTAGCTATTTTAGAATGGGATCTAACCTGGGTAGGCCATCAAGGGATAGTGCAAGAACCCGTCCATCCCACATTCAGGTCATTTGGAGCACTGTAGCTTGATTGTTTGACTTGTTCGATGGCCTGAAACTGTGCAAGGATATGCATGTGCGCAACATGTCAGCATGCCAACGTCTGGATGCCGTTTTTACCTCTGTTTCTTGACTCTATTCCCTAGTACATCCAATTCCCTAGCCATAGGAACTGGTCTGAGCTCGTTAGCACAACTACGCAGCTCGTGACGCTTTGTTTGTGCATTTGCTGGTCTGAAACTGTGCAAGGATAGGCCTGTGCACAACATGTCACTGTTTCAACGTCTGGATGCCTATTTTACCTCTGTTTCTTCACTCTATTCCCTAGTACATCCAATTCCCTTGCCATAGGAACTGGTCTGAGCTCGTTCGCACAATTTCGCAGCACCTGGCGCTTGTTTGAGCATTTCCTGGCCTGAAATTGTGCAAGGATAGGCATGTGCACAACATGTCACTGCGCCAACGTCTGGATGCCTTTTTCTGTCAGAATTATATTCTTATGCCTGCATGTAGTTCTAGCTGTAGTGTAGATATTAACTTTATAGGTGGTGCACCTCTTTGTTTGCTATATGTACCCTAGTGCTATAATGAACATTCATTCCCCTCTCATTTCTCGACTCTCTCTCCTTGGCACAATCTAGCTCGACTCCCTTGGCCTAGGCTACTAAGCCTAGGCCCACTTAAACCCAACTACCTACTCCTACTTATGCCACTATTCTGACATTCTTACCTCTATTTCTTCACACAGCTCCTTATTACATCCTATTCCCTAGCCATAGGAACTGGTCTGAGCTCGTTAGCACAACTACGCAGCTCGTGGCGCTTGTTTGTGCATTAGCTGGCCTGAAACTGTGCAAGGACAGGCCTGTGCGCAACATCTCACTGTTTCAACATCTGGATGCCTTTTTTACCTCTGTTTCTTCACTCTGTTCCCTATTACATCCAATTCCCTTGCCATAGGAACTGGTCTGAGCTCATTCGCACAATTTCGCAGCACCTGGTGCTTGTTTGGGCATTTCCTGGCCTGAAACTGTGCAAGGATAGGCATGTGCGCAACATGTCACTGCGCCAACGTCTGGATGCCTTTTTTACCTCTATTTCTTCACACATCTCCTTAGTAAATCCTATTTCCTAGCCATAGGAACTGGTCTGAGCTCGTTAGCACAACTACGCAGCTCGTGGCGCTTGTTTGTGCATTAGCTGGCCTGAAACTGTACAAGGACAGGCCTGTGCGCAACATCTCATTGTTTCAACGTCTGGATGCCTTTTTTACCTCTGTTTCTTCACTTTGTTCCCTATTACATCCAATTCCCTTGCCATAGGAACTGGTCTGAGCTCGATCACACAATTTTGCAGCACGTGGCGCTTGTTTGTGCATTTGCTGGCCTGAAACTATGCAAGGATAGGCATGTGCGCAACATGTCAGCACGCCAACGTCTGGATGCTTTTTTTACCTCTGTTTCTTCACACAGATCTCTAGTACATCCTATTTCCTAGCCATAGGAACTGGTCCGAGCTCGTTAGCACAACTACGCAGCTCGTGACGCTTGTTTGTGCATTTGCTAGCCTGAAACTTTGCAAGGATAGGCCTGTGCGCAACATGTCACTCTTTCAACGTCTAGGGGTTGTTTTTACCTCTGTTTCTTCACTCAGTTCCCTAGTACATCCTATTCCCTTGCCATATGATAGGTTGGCCTGGCACGTCAACGCTGAAGGGATTCCCTTTGCCAACCTTGCTGCAACTGAGAAGGCGGCTCTAACTGTAAGTACGATACTAGGCTAGGCAACAATTGTTTGTCCGGCAACGGACGTAGCATCGACGCACGATAAGAATGCGCTGACTATTTAGGGTTGGGCTCAAACGTGGTGGGGCTTGTGTAAATAGTGTCAAGATGATTTTATGGCAATTTTGTTTTGTTAGAAGTCCCTTTTTGAACATTTAGAGTCGTCGATTTCTGGATCAAGAGGCTTCATACTGCCTTCCTCCAAAATATTTTACATGCCTGTATGAATAAGTTCAATTTAATGCAGTGTTCACATCTTGAGCTGAATTGACATTCCAAAACAAATGGTGTGCAAAATGAGCTTTCAGGTATATTGGCAACAATGCAGTCACAATACCAAGCCTATGTCGCACGCTAGCGGGTCTCGCCTAATCAGAGGGTTTTTATTAGGGTTTGAATGATCGACGTTCAAAGGAGGGACTCACGCTAGCCTGAATCACGCCCGAATCACACTCTAGTCGAAGTAGCACGTTGTAGTAACCACCCCCGCGTACGCGCGGGACCTTCTCTCTCCCCAGCCCACGCGCAACGACTGCTTTTAGTGATCTGCAGTAGCCAGCGTCCCGCCCCCGCGCGACACTCTTTCTCTTCCCTCGCTATATTCGACCGTGCATAATGAGTAGAAGAGCATTCTTGAAGAACTGTTCCATCGTTTCACAGCATTTTGACGCTGACACAAGGCCATTTCCTATCGCCCAATGGCCAGTGATCAGTCCTTGGCCAAGGTCTTCATGTTCTCACTGGTCGTATGTACCTGGTGCGGCCTAATCTTCTCGTCTACCCGGCGTTTGTCGCTTCACAATCACAACCCTGGTTTAGAATGCCGTGCTGAACGCGCCGCTTTGCGTTCATAAGGGTACAGCGTGAGTGGGCCATGTCGCCTTGATGAGCGCGGAGAGGTCGTCCGTGACGCAATCCCTGTGTCATTCTCAAAGCGGAGGAGGGTAGTGGCTGATGACCCGCGTGATGCGGCATGTGGCAATCCCACCGTCAATGTGTCTCCTGAAGAGGTATCTCCTGCACCAGAGCCATCCCATAGTGACCCTGTGGTGGATCGTTGCGGTGACGACCGCAATGAGGAGCAGTCTATGCCGCCGCAGATGTGCAGCTCCTTCAGCACAAGGCTAGAGATCATGCTCCTAATGCAAAGCTTCCGCGAGGGCCAAGGAATGACTGTTGAAGAGAGTAGGCAGTTCCTCCGCGTAGTCTTACATCCTGACTTCAAAAGAGAGGAGCTGCTTGGCTGGCGCAGCATCAAGGATGCCCAAAAATGGGCCGCTGCCCAATGGGGGTCGAAAGCAAGCACGTGGAAGACAACAATGGTGAAGGTGCCAGGCGTGACTGAAAATGGGCAACCTGTCTACGTCGCCTTGGAGCATGCCGACCCCCTGCAGGTCAGTCACGCCTGTTAGTCCGGGCTTGCGAGCATCAGTGAGCATCTCTCGGTATGATGCAGGATACTGTGTTATGTTTACGCTACTTGAATCGTCAGTACTAACGTTTTTTCCGTGCCTCATTCACACCCCAAATCGATTCTGAAATGCAGATTGCTAAGCGCATATTTGAAGACGTCAAGAACCACGACGGGTTTGCACTCTTTCCAAGCGAAAAGAGGAACCGTGCTAACAAAAGAGTCTACACCCGCCCACAACATGGAAATTGGTGGCTAGAGGCACAGGTGAGATCACGCTTGTAATGCCTCTTTGAACTCTATGTTGCATCACGTCGCCTATTGTTGCTACCCTATCCCCACTCCCTGCTATCCCTGCTGCTATCCCTATTGTTGCTACCCTATCCCCACTCCCTGCTATCCTATCCCCACTCCTTGCTATCCTATCCCCACTCCCTGCTATCCTATCCCCACTCCCTGCTATCCTATCCCCACTCCCTGCTATCCTATCCCCACTCCCTGCTATCCTATCCCCACTCCCTGCCATCATAACCCCACTCCCTGCTATCCTATCCCCACTCCCTGCTATCCTATCCCCACTCCCTGCTATCCTATCCCCACTCCCTGCTATCCTAACCCCACTCCCTGCTATCCTATCCCCACTCTCTGCTATCCTATCCCCACTCCTTGCTATCCTATCCCCACTCCCTGCTATCCTATCCCCACTCCCTGCTATCCTACACCCACTCCCTGCTATCCTATCCCCACTCCCTCCTATCCTATCCCCACTCCCTGCTATCCTATCCCCACTCCCTGCTCCCTCAGTACACTCATGCTTCTGTTCGCGGATTGATGTCAACTACATTCTGTCTTGTTAGTATTGTTCTGACCCCGGCAATGACCCAACAATACGAAATTGATTCCCTTAAATTGGCCTTCACTCCTATTTGGCAGAAAGCACTAGGGTTCAGTGATGAAGTAATAGCAGCTCTCGTAGTCTACTCCGAACTCAGCTGTCTAAAAACGACAACCAGAAAGCATGGTCTGTTGTGATCACACTCGGCAACATAGCAATGGAACATCGTTGGAAAGCCAGTGCCAAGCAAATGGTGGCCTTGCTACCAATTCCACAGTCTAAATGGTCAAGCGCAGTCAAGACCGAGTTGTTCCAAGAATGTATGAAGATCGTTCTCAAACCACTTATCGATGCCAGCAACAGGTGGGTACTGTTCGGCTGGGTTGATGCCACAATGCCTCATCATGCACTATGCCCCTGGTTTGCGATCTGTGTTCCATGACACCATGTGTATCAGATCTAAATGATAAATGTTGGGATCATGCTAACACTATGCCCCTGGTTTGCGCTCTGTGTTTCCTGGTACTGCGTTGTTAACATTGTCGTATTGACATATGGAACAGTGCCACGGGCTGCTACTGGAAAGACCCCACGGGTATGGTACATACCGTATGGCCTCTACTTTACTGCTACGCCGGTGACTACCCAGAAACGTGCAAAGTGTCTTGCACCTTCCAGCATGGGTCGGCTAAGCCTTGTTCGTTGTGCTATGTATCCAAAGAGGACTTGGCTGATCTAGCCACGAAACCGAATCTAAGAACAGTAGGTAGCCAACGATTCATCGTGGCCAAGTTCAATATGTTTCTTCAAACGACATTGAAGATGGCGTCGGATTACACCAAGCTTTACTCAACATTTCCCATAGCTGTAAGTGGTGTGCACTGCTGTTGTTTACATATCCTGATGTTGTTTATATCAACGTGTGATATCGTGACTCTACTTGGTCCTTCCAATTTCAGCCCTTTCTGTGGGATTGGAAGTTCACTGAAACCCCGTGGGGGAATCCCTACATGGCACAAATGCCAGATGTGCTCCACCAGTCGGATGTTGGTGTATGGGGGCACATCCGGGATGCTATTGGAACCCTTCCAGCAGCCAGGATCGGGAAGTTGGACGAGTGAGTCATGTGTTGTGTGCTTTTCTGATTTGTAGAATGTGTACAACTGAGCATTGCACTGCACCTACAACACACCTGACCAAACACACATGTTACCTCAGGCGGTTGAAATGGATGTGGAGCCATGGTCGTATCGCGGGCCTTGCTCTGCCACATAACTTCACCTATTTCGCCTCTGGAGCTAACGTGTCTGCTGCTGAGCACCGGGCAGTCATGCAAGTCTCCATCTTCCTCCTTGAAGGACTTGTTGAGCCTCCGGTGTTGTCAGCGGTGCAAGCGTACTTGAGGTGGTACAAGGCCACGTTTCGACCTCGGTATCACACCGATGAATCGCTGGATAAGTGTCAGCAACTGGCCATCATGTGAGTCCATGCTCCCATACGCTCCAGCATGGTATTATCGTGCAAAGAACCTTTTCACTGCCCTTGCTGGAAAAACAGTTACCCTCAGATTGTCCCTTTGTGCATCATCCCATCTCCTTTGGCAGCATGTGTGCAAAGCTGAAGGAGGCGTTTCCTGGGCAAAAATCAGAATGGGGGTTCATCAAGATGCATATGGTGGTTCACTATTGTGATGCCATCAAACGGGGGGGCTTACCGGAGGAGTACTCAACGAACGTGTATGAGCACTCTCACAAAAACACTATCAAAAGGCCCTATCGTGCTTCGAATCGGCGACAGTGGACCGATGCTATCATTAAGAGCAACCAGCTTCAGGAAATCTTGGTAGAGGTGGAGTCTGAAATCCAGGAGGAGAAAGAATACAACTCTGCTTTTTACGAGGTGAGCCCTTGACGCTCAACACTACTCTGTACCCTTATACAGCCGCCCCAATCCCCCTACCCCCCCCCCCCCTGCGGAGATAACTACTACAACGGGAGCTAGACTACGGGCTAGGCATGGGTGCTCGTGTGATCTCTGCGTTCGTTGGTCCTTAGTCGTTTTCCTAGTGCACACACTACTTGCTAGTTCACGGGGCAAGTTGGTAAGAGTTTCACTAGAGAAAGTTGACAATAATGGTACAAAGAAGTTGGCATAGCAAGACTACATCAGAGCTAGCATTCAGGTCGGTCGACTGCCAGCACAGCATGGTCGACCGCGTTCCAGCACGACTTGGTCGACCGCGCTCCAGCAGTGCAAAGTTGACAGCATGCCAACGCTGCAGGTCGACGGCGTGCCAGCGTAGCTCCCGCAGTACAGCATCGCACCAGCTTCGCATGTGCTCGCAGATGATTGGTGTGCTGAGCCTTGTCACCTGCACAACGCACACACCAAGTCCACCTGGCGCTGGCGACTGCATCTGATCAGCCACGTCGACCTCGGGATACCACCACCGAGGTCGGACTCGCCAACTTCGCCTGGGCGACCGTCGCACTCCTCCGCAGAACCTCGTCACCCAGGTAACCTGGTCGACCGGGCAACCACGTCGACCAGCTGCTCCTGTATGTGCCCGTCGACCTCCCAAGTCGACGACCACCCCAAGTCGACCTCACCAGGTCGACCACGCCCCTGGTCGACCAGCTCCAGGTCGATGTCACTCCTGGTCGACCAGTTCCACGTCGACCAGTACTCCTGGTCGACCAGCGCAGTTGTCAGCCGACCACCCAAGTCGGCTACCCGAAGTCGGCGTCACCAAGTTGACGCCCTTCTACTCGACGCCCAGCTGCTCGGCGTCCTGAGTTGAGGTCGACGTCGGCCCCTCCTCCGTCGACCACCAGGTCAGGTCGACCACCAGGTCAACATCACACCTGGTCGACCAACCACCAAGTCGACCAGCAGACCTGGTCGACCAACCACCACGTCGACCAGTAGTCCTGTCAGCCGACCACCCAAGTCGGCTGCCCCAAGTTGGCGTCACCAAGTCGACGCCCTCCGCAGGTCGACTTCCCAGGTCGACCTCCCTGAGTCGGCGCCACCCTGAAGTCGGCGCCCGTGCAGTGGCTCCCGTGCAGGTCGACCTCCTCGTCAACCAGCTCGCCCACTGCTGCAGGTCGGCTGCTCCCCTCACACCCGACCACGAAGTCGGCTCCGCCCAAGCGAGGACGGGGCCAACACACAACTCCCGTTGACACCCCCTCCCCCCCCCCCCCCCCCCCCTCCCCCGCCTCCTTCCACCCCACCCTGTCTCACGGCCCTGTTTCATTATCCCAGCATTTACTGCCCACGATCATGCCCTGTCACGCTGTCATGCTCACCCCCATCCCTTGTCACTGTTTCATGCTGTCACGTATCCCCTCTCACCTCACCCTGCATGCTCTCATCCCCTCTCACCTCATCCTGCATGCTCTCATCCCTTGCTCACCTCATCTTGCATGCTCTCCATCCCCTCTCACCTCATCCTACATGCTCTCATCCCCTCTCACCTCATCCGGCATGCTCTCATCCCCTCTCACCTCATCCTGCATGCCCTCATCCCTTGCTCACCTCATCCTGCATGCCCTCATCCCTTGCTCACCTCATCCTGCATGCTCTCATCCCCTCTCACCTCATCCTGCATGCTCTCATCCCCTCTCACCTCATCCTGCATGCTCTCATCCCCTCTCACCTCATCCTGCAGGATCTCATCCCCTCTCACCTCATCCTGCATGCTCTCATCCCCTCTCACCTCTTCCTACATGCTCTCATCCCCTTTCACCTCATCCTGCATGCTCTCATCCCCTCTCACCTCATCCTGCATGCTCTCATCCCCTCTCACCTCATCCTGCATGCTCTCATCCCCTCTCACCTCATCCTGTATGCTCTCATCCCCTCTCACCTCATCCTGCAGGCTCTCATCCCCTCTTACCTTATCCTGCATGCTCTCATCCCCTCTCACCTCATCCTGTATGCTCTCATCCCCTCTCACCTCATCCTGCATGCTCTCATCCCCTCTCACCTCATCCTGCATGCTCTCATCCCCTCTCACCTCATCCTGCATGCTCTCATCCCCTCTCACCTCATCCAGCATGCTCTCATCCCCTCTCACCTCATCCTGCATGCTCTCATCCCCTCTCACCTCATCCTGCATGCTCTCATCCCCTCTCACCTCATCCTGCATGCTCTCATCCCCTCTCACCTCATCCTGCATGCTCTCATCCCCTCTCACCTCATCCTGCATGCTCTCATCCCCTCTCACCTCATCATGCATGCTCTCATTCCCTCTCACCTTGTCTATCTGCGAGTCCTGCACAGGCGGACACCGAGTGCAAGCGCGTTTATCTTCGGACTTTTGTCGTGTTTCACATGGAGGGCAGCTCTGCTCGCCGCAGAAAAACGGACCACTTCAGCATCCACAACACAGCCTTGGGTGGACGGTTGGACACACTGCAGGATGATCTCGGAAGAGCGGATTTAAACCCCCCCACATCACATGTAAGGATATCTTCGTTCGAGATAACAATACATCTCTGCCAACTCAAATCCCCTCTCACCTCATTCAACCCGCGCCACATCCCCTCTCACCCCATTCCGTTAACTAATCCCCTCTCACATCATTCTGCCCCCCCTCATCCCCTCTCACATCATTCTGCCCCCCGTCATCCCCTCTCACATCATTGTGCCCCCCCTCATCCCCTCTCACATCAATGTGCCCCCCATCATCCCCTCTCACATCATTCTGCCCCCCCTCATCCCCTCTCACCCGATTCTGTCCACCCTCATCCCATCTCACCTCATTATGCCACCATTATCGTCCCCTCTCACATCATTCTGCCCGACCCTCATTCTCCCTCGCGTTACCATTATCACCCTCATCCCCTCTCACCTCATTCTGCCCATTCTCATCCCCTGTCACCTTATTCTGTCCACCTCACCCACTCCCACCTCATTCTGCCCACTCTCACTGTCAGAATCAAGAGACGGGAATGAATGAACTATGGAAGAGTTGGGTACAAGTATGAAACCCTAAAAGGGGTTGTACCCCATATTGGCTACCCCACTACAGCCTACACATATAGAACATGCATATGCTTTGACACACCCCCATAGGCAAAGTGGGGGAGAGCAAGGGGTTACAAGACCAGTCAAGAGAAGCAAAGCAAGCTCAGGGTGGATCACAACGTCACCACACACACTGAGCACAAGCAAAGGGCCACAAGGCCAGTTCACATACAGGGGTATATATGCAACAACAACAGCACTGTGATCTCTACCTAGCAGAGCAAGCATGCAGGTATATATAGATCACAGTACAAGCAAAGTCTACAGCAAGTGAGGAAACGTGGGCACAAGGCCTAACAGACTGCAGAAACGCTGATGATCACCAGACGGAAACGCCTTTGTGAATATATCAGCAGTGTTGGCTCGAGTGGCCACGTGAGCAAGACGAAGCTGACCACGCTGCTGCAACTCTCGAGCCAGGAAGTAACACAGAGCAATGTGCTTCGTTCTGTGCTCCAGTCTGTGCTCTTGACACAAGGCAATGGCGGCCTTGTTGTCGACGTACAGCACTGGAGGAGAACGAGGCCGCTCTCCCAAGTCGGTCAGCAGGTAGGTGAGCCAGCGTAACTCTTGTGCAGCCATGGCTGTGGCGTAGATCTCAGCCTCACAACTGGAGCTGAGAACTGAAGACGAGCGCGTAGAACGCCAAGAAACCGAACCAGAGCCAAGACTGAAGGTGTAACCCTGTAACGACCGCTGCGTAGCCTGGTCGTCAACCCAAGAAGCGTCTGAGTGCCCAGTGAGGACAACGTCGCTCCGTCCTCCAAGCACGAGCCCCATGCCCGATGTACTGCACAAGTAGCGTAGTACCCTCTTAGCAGCATCCATGTGCACCTTTCGGTGCCGACCAGGAGCCACGTAGCGAGCCAGAAGGCCAAGAGGGTACGCAAGGTCAGGACGAGTGCAGGTCATCAGGTACATGAGGCAGCCCACTAGCTCTGGGTAAGGACCACTCGGCTCTACGGACTCGTCCGAAGGTGGAGCTGAGAGCGAGTGACCTGTAGCCAGAGGAGTGTGCTGTGGCGAGGACCAGGTGAAGCCGAAGCGCTGAAGGACCTGCTGCACCATGTGTGACTGAGTCAGTGTGATGGTGCGGCGTGCTCTGTCCCGGGTGATCCGCAAGCCAAGATAGCTTGTCAGCTCACCCAGGTCTGTGCACGTGTGTCTCTTCTGCAGCTCCGACTTCACCACGGCGAGAGCCTCAGTGTCAGCAGTGGCAAAGACCAAGTCGTCGACGTACACGAGGATGTAGAACGGCGGCAGCGAAGTGTCGGTGCGCAGAAACAGCGACGGGTCAGCAGTCGACGGAGCAAACCCAAGAGCCGCAAGTGTCGTCCTCAGTGTGTCGTGCCACTCACGTGGCGCCTGGCGGAGACCGTAGACCGGCCGCCTGAGGCTCCACTGGGTACCAGGAGGGAACGACCCAGTGAAGCCAGGTGGGCGGCGCAGCCAGATCTCCTCGTGCAGGCTGCCCTGGAAGAAGGCTGTGCTGAAGTCAAGAGAGTGAAGCTCGTAGTCACGATGAGCGGCAACGTGCAGCAGCACCCGAAGAGTGGTCATCTTCGGGGTGGGGGAGAAGGTCTGGAAGAAGTCTACTCCCTCTCGCTGACTGAAACCTCGTGCCACGTAACGCGCCTTGAAGGCAGGCGGAGAACCTGGCGGCCGCTTCACCCTGAAAATCCACATGCCACTGACGATGTTCGCCCCAGGTGGGGGAACCTCGTCGACGTAGGTGCCTGTGGACTTCCAGGATGCCATCTCTGCGTCCATGGCTGTCTGCCACTGAGAGGAGTACTCACCCGCGATCGCCTCAGCGTAAGAGCGCGGGGTCGGGATGTCTGGAGCATCCGGGTCTCCCTCATGGGCAAGCAGCATGGACACGAGATGAGGCGCAGCGGCTGCAAGACACTCAAGGTCCTCCTGCCTGTCCTCAAGGACGTCCGTGCCAAGAGCACACTCACCCCCGACGGACGGAGGACAGACAGACTCAGACTCAGCAACAAGACTAGCAGCGTAGTCTAGACGACAGGCAGCAGCAAAGTCCACAAGCTCAGCAACTAAGGCAGACGTAGCAGCAGACTCAAACGACGGGTCAGTGACAACTGTGGCTAGCAGACGCGTGACAGTAGGGTGCTCAGCACGAAACCGGTCAGACTCGGGGTCCGCAACGACAGGCAGAGAAGACGCAGGAGGGGACGGCAGAGGAACACGCTACGGAGGAGAGGAAGGACGACGGACTACGAGGTGGGTGTCGGGGACAGCCGGCAGACGCGGACGAGGAACACGACGACCGGAACGACCAGAACAGACAGGCGAGACAGGACGCGACGCAGGCTCACGACGCTCAGTAAGACCCCCTAGCTGCTCAGTGTAAGGAGAAGGAGCAGGCAGCGGTGAGCCAGGCTGTAACGGAAGACCAGTAGACAAAGGGAGACTAAGAACCTGGCGAAGCACAGAGTCAGGCGGTGGCTGAGACGACGGAGACGGTGGAGCGAAGAACAGGCGCGGCTGTGCAGTGACACCAGCACCAGCAGCTCCAGTACCCCCAGCAGCTCCAGCACCTCCAGCAGTCCCTGAACCCTCAGCGCCAGCTCCTCCAGGACCAGCTCCACCAACAGGAGCACCCCCAGAACCAGCACCTCCAGTCCCAGGGTCTCCAGCCTCAGTGCCTCCAGCAGCAGCACCCTCAGGCTCAGCACCTCCAGCAGCTCCAGAACCCTCAGCGCCAGCTCCTCCAGGACCAGCTCCACCAACAGCAGCACCCCCAGAACCGGCACCTCCAGTCCCAGGGTCTCCAGCCTCAGTGCCTCCAGCAGCAGCACCCTCAGGCTCAGCACCTCCAGCCCCAGCAGCTCCAGTACCTCCAGTACGAGCACCTCCGGGACCAGCACCACTCCCAGCTCCAGTGACAGCAGCAGAAGTACCTCCAGCGGCAGAGCCCCGAGCTCCAGAAGCGCGACCCTGACGGCGACCGTACCAGTCGTGCAGCTGCTGCGAGGTGAGAGGCACACGCGGACGAAGGCGGCTACTCCAAGGAAACCGCGCAATAGCAGACTCAGAACCCTCAGTGCCAGCACCCGCAGGAGCTCCAAAACCTCCAGCGCCAGCACCCTCAGCAGCTCCAGAACCTCCACCTCCAGCGCCACCAGCGCAAGCACCTCCAGCAGCTCCAGAACCTCCAGCGCCAGCACCCTCAGCAGCTCCAGAATCTCCAGCTCCACTGTCACCAGCGCCAGCACCTCCAGCTCCAGCACCCTCAGCAGCTCCAGAACCTCCAGTAGAAACAACTCCAGTGGCAGAGTCACCAGCTCCAGCGCCTCCCGCAGTAGGGCCCCTAGCTCCAGCAGCGCGACCCTGACGGCCAGCGTACCACTCAAGCAGCTGCTAGGGGGAGAGAGGGAGTCGACGATGAGAGTGCTGCGGCGAGGCACCAGCGGAGCGACTACGGAGACGGCCGCTCCAAGGAGACTGTTCACCAGACGCCTCAGCGCCCCCAGGCTCAGCACCCCCAGACTCCTCACACCCAGGCTTAGCACCTCCAGTCTCCGCACCCCCAGGCTCCGCACCTCCAGGCTCCGCACACCCAGGCTCAGCACCCCCAGGCTCAGCACCCCCAGGCTCAGCACCCCCAGGCTCCGCACCCCCAGGCTCAGCACCCCCAGCAGCAGCACCCCGAGCAGGACCACCCTCAGCAGGACCTGAGTCACCAGTGACCTCAACCTGAGGAGGAGGGTCTACCTGAGACACACCTGAAGGAGCAGGACCGGGAGCGGGGAGGGGGTCTACCTGGGGAGCACCTGGAGCGAGGAAGAGCGGCGGGGGGGGGAGAGGGGCAGTGTGGTAGGGGAAGAGACGGTAAAAGGGAACCGACTCGTCGAACGTGACGTCCTGAGAGGGGAAGACACGGCGCGAGGTGGGGTGGTAAAACTGCCAACCAGGCGCGTCAGGGACAAAGCCAAGGAAGACACAGGGAACAGCGCGGGCGGAGATCTTGTCCGCGGTGGTATCGCGGACAAAGGCACGAGCACCCCAGACCCGGAAACGCGACGCATCGTCAACCTTCCCCGTCCACAGCAGTGTGGGCGAGGTCTCCGGCAAGGAGACACGGGGCCAGAGGTTGAGCTGATGCGCGGCGTACCGGACCGCAAACGGCCACAGAAAATGGGGGGCAGCCGCATGGATCATGGAGGTACGAGCGACCTCCATGAC